GATGCTTGCTTAGTCACTAATAGTCTAATCTGAGTGGAGCTTGTGGATAATGTCCTTAGCCTGGAGGAAGAATGAGACCATTGTTACCTCCACCTGCTGCAGATGTTATCTCCGCATATAAACAACTCTAACATTGGTTTTCACTTGAACGCAAGCAATTATAGGTAATAGGAGCTTTTTTCTTTTTCTTCTCTATTTCTTAAAATCCTCCACAGCTCTTTAGCTTGATCCCTCTTAAAATTACGGTATTTAGGAAAATGTCCCACTTAGATACGCGGTGTTAAGCTATGCTTTGACCCCTGCCATCCAGACATTTTCCCTTTTCTAGCAGGTGCCATTAGAATCAGTGAATGTTTCATCTTTTGTCTTAATTGTAATAAAGACGCACTGGCTGTTGAAACTCAGCACTTTAATCTAGAATATGATTTGTGTATTTGCGTTCTTTGCAAAGTCAGTATTAGCTGATCTTTGTACCCTGTAGTTACAGAGGGGGATTATCCTGTGGTGTGCAGTCTGCAGATGTGTATTTACAGACACTTCAAAGAGTGCCTTTAACTATAGGGAATTCAGCAGGCCTCATGTGAGTCCATAAACCACAATGCTTTTTACTTTTGAGAGGAACTGTAAAGTGTGTGTGTGTGTGTGTCTGTCTGTCTGTGTGTAGTGATTTTTTAATTCTAAGACTGTGTTACTCTTAAAATAATTTTACATTATACAGTTTAACTCAGAAGTATGAACAACTAAGTGGTTCTAGATTTTAAATTTTTAGTCATTTATTCTTTGTCCAAATATAAACAAGAAAATGGGTTTCTTCTTGCATTCTTTAAAATTCAGCTCAAAAGCTTTTGAATGTCAAAAGGCAAATTGTTCATTCTTCTTCAGAACCGGTAAAATACTAAAAACAAGACATGCCAGTCATTAATTAACAACCACAATTGATGCACCCACTTGACACAGGTTTTATTGGTAACCCAATATGTGTCAGGTTCTAGCCTACTGTTGACTTTTAAAAATGACTTTCTAGCTGGTAAGATGTCTCAGTGGGTAAAGGAGCAAGTCTGATGGCTATGCAAGCCTAACAACCTGAGTTCGATCCCTGGACCCATTAAAGGTGGAAGGAGGGAACAGGCACCACAAAGTTGTCCTCTCCCTGACTTCACAGGAGCTGTGTGGCATGCCCCCCCCCCGCCATCGTATACACTTAAAATAATAAAGTTTTTTAAGAGTATTTTTATTTATTTTTATTTTATGTGTATGAGTGTATTGCCTGCATGTATAAGTGTACCACCTGTGTCCTGAAATGCCCATGGAGGTCAGAAGAGGGTATCAGATACCCTGGAACTGGAGTTACAGATGACTGTTAGCTGTCATGTGGGAGTTGGGAACTGAACCCAGGTCCTCTGCAAGAGCAGCTGGCTAGTGCTCTTAACTATTGAGCCATCTCTCCAGCCCCAACAGTG